ATACTGGTAATACTTCTGGTAAATGCCAGTGCCCTCTTTTCGATCACAACGCAGACAGTTGAAGCGAAACGCACATTTGGCGATCTACACTCCCAGATGATAGATGTCGATTTGATTGCTTGCACTGTAGTAAATTTCTGGTCAAATAAACTATTATAAATTTGTTGATACTAAGGAGCCATTTTGAAGTTTTAGCTAAGATTTTTCCCTGCAAATAAAGTCAGTTTATGGCAAAAAGTCCAGTAGCTTAATTAATTTGTTCCATCATTAGAATTGGTTGCTAACCCCACGAAACGCCAGGGAGTCTAGAACCCATAACCTACCGGCCATTTAGTCACAAGACGCAATTAGGCTATACCGCCACTCAACTGTCCATCGCGGAATTCGAACCATTCGGGCACATGTTGAATGCTTCTTCATGTGACCTCTCCTCAAGAATACGAAAATTGTGAACTTTTCCTTCTGAGCCATTTGCTCATACTATCGACATATTGCAAGTAGCATTAAACTAGAGCCATTCACACGATGCTGGTCACTTGCTTTTTAAACCTCGCCACAAAAGAAGCCAGTATATATGTGCAACTAAAAGATGTGAGTCCCTTGGTAGAAGGCTAAGTGGTACTATATCCCGTCTAAGTACCGGTTAGTCACACTGCTTCTCCGCCGGTCAAAACCAAACGGTCTAGTTTGTAGTTTCCACCAGTGAGGTTTTTCAGGACAAATTCCATTGAAACTAGTTTTCATTTCACACTATTAACCTTCTAGAAGTCACGAAAAGAAAGTTCCGTTGATAAATTCTGTGGCAGTAAGTAGTTGAAGATGCTGTGGATGACATGTTTCATGTGAAGTACACCTTGAACTTCTCGAGGGTCGAATACTGATGAATTGACATGAGAGCCACTAGAGAAATGTTAGTTGGGCTGCCAACTGCTGCAGTGCTAAACCGGTGCGAACTCTTGGAGCGAATACATACATCTGAATTTATCAGCCACCTGCTTCGAAACCCGAGGAGTTTATGTACACTAAATGGGCTTGATTGGTTACTGAATACGTCCTGGTTTTGCTCGTAATTCGTGTGAAACCAACAACTACGCGCCACCGATACACATGACCGTATCATCCAACAAATGAAGTCGCGTACTATAGCACGTGGACCAATATGAAAGGAAATTCAATCGGTTCTCTGGCTCTTACACCCTCACGGAGCAAAGTTTCCTTTTTGATAATCAGTCCAAACGATAAAATTCAAATTCTAAGAAGAAATTGCGTCGCTCTGTTTTTTCCAAATAGTGCACGCCATATTTTGGGACTTCCCATCGATTCGTTGCTGACTGACGTTCATTAAGTGTTTTTTCCTATTGTGTACAGGTGTTCAGAAGCTTTAGAATGAATGAATCACTTGTGGAATGGGCAAGTTGCATTCCCGTAATGGCCCTCGTTTGATTGAGCCTGGTTGAATTGCTGACTATAGTATTCAGCAAACGGCACCTTTGTTTAGTGGGATCTTGTCGTATCGTTTACTAGTGAAAGCTGAGAAGTTTCACGAGACAGATAGGACAACAGAAGCATATCGAAAACCCTAATTGAAATCGGATATTTGAAGAAGTTTTCCTCACAAAATGCTTGAGACAGTTCTGCCTCAAGAGAAGGTTGAGCCACCTCAGTCCGGATTACGTCCGCCCATGTTCAGAAGCAACGCCATTTCCGAAACAATGAAGAAGATACTAACGAAAAATTCACAAATTTACATAACAAGTTGCATAGCATGCGGCAATTACTATTCTATTCTTAGGTAACAAAAAATACACAGGAATCGTGTTTGCTGAACATTTTTGAATGAAGCCGAAGGGTGAGTTGGAACCGGTAGTCTCAGAAGAGCGATGAAATATTGTCTCACAAACTGACTAAACTTTTGCAGAATAAATATTACGGTGCTGATTTGTAAAGCAAGTTGGATGGTTTCCTCTATATAGCGAACAACCCAAGTAGCCCAAATCCATGTGTACCTGCACTGACAGCGCAGGTCAGCTGTTGAGTCAAGCGGCAATATATCAAATCGAAATCAATCCAAAACCACGAAAGCATTCAATTAGGAACTACTAAAAAAGGAGTTGTACATCACACCAGAAATGTATTGCATTATATGAACGTTTTCAGCCCTTCATAAGCTCAACTGTATCTTGCCAGTGCTTTGTTCACCTGGACGGTCTGCTAAAATTCTTGTTTCAGGAGCAATTTTGTCTTTTCCATATGTTCAGCTGCCAATCTCTTTTCATTTAATCAGGTGTCTATGATCCACTGCACTGATGACCATGCTTTGTTTGAGAAACTAAACAGGACGTCCATATCCAAGGAGTAATTTTTTTTCTGAAACTAGGCGACTATATATTTCAGTGATGAAACATGCAGCCCTTCATAGCTTTCCTATCCCAAATGACGTGTTCGACGGCCCTCATAAGCCTTCATTTGCATGACAGTTAACTGCGTTATTCAGTTTAAACTGCTATTCACATGGAAACTTTAGACCGACTGGATATTGTCGAATACCACCAACTCTCGCTCTTGGTTTGCGAACAGAAGAATGTGAATAATTAAGCGCTCATTAGTACTCGGTGTCCGGTAGTAGGTCCATCTGTTTTACAAATCAATTAGTGAACAGAAAAACGTTTGTCGTTCAGACCACAGAGTATAAACTGAAGTGAATAAGTTAGATCAGTTTCAAAGCATTTCATAAAACATCATATCTGGTGAATGGCACTGAACCCGGTAGAACTCATTACAATCCCCGCCTTGCCCTGTGGCCCAATCGACTGATATCATATTCTCTGGCACCCTAACCAGTGGTGGCTAAACGGATACAGTCCAGATACAATATCCTCTGTACTAAACAAAAACCAAAGTCATCTGGACGACATTAGTCACTCAGCTATGTCAGCGGAGAATAATTCTCCCGTGTTTTCTCAGCTAAATCAGTTTTCAGTTGAGATTTGTTACTATAAATGAAGACAGTCCATGCGAAAAAAGCTACAGGCACGGTACAGCTCTTCCGTCTTTATTGGGAATCATCAGTGGTGAGTATCTCACGGAACACAGAGAGTTTTCGGGACAGTGGCTATACACTTCACCGCTGAGCCACAAGCGGCTGAGTATTAATGTGATTAGCCCCTACTTAGTCAGGATATAGCCCCGCACATTCTCTAACCACAGATACTACATCATGTGATCTCGTATTGATTGACTCGCTGTTTTGCTGATGATTACTCAGAGGGAAGTTTTACTCATCTTGTGAAATTATTCCTTCTCTGAGCCACTTATTGACTGACGGTAGTGAGAGGATATTTGGTAACCGCTGTTTAGTGCTTCTCGGCTGTCAAACAGAATGGCCTCAATGAGAGACCGCCAGGCCTAGCACTATAGCACCTACAAGCCTAGGGTTTGTTTAATCATACTTAAATATACTGACCAATAAAGATTCCACAGATTATTCACAAGTATTCATTTTGCTTGATTAATTTACTAGCCAGTTATTGTAGCACCCAACATCTCTGGAACGCTGAAGCCAACCGTAGACTGTCGAAGACCTCTCAGAATCCTTATGAGCATTGTCCATCTTTCAACACATTTTCACGTAGTGTCGTATTTGGAAAGCCAATACTCGATTTACAGACATACTTGTCCCCACTCTGTTGCTCGGCGCAATCCGGATAAAAGTTCAGGGTCCGGGGGATGTGTACGAAACTAATTGTTAAGTTAGTCGAATCTGAGAAATATTCGAGAAGGGATCACGAGTAGTACTCACAGCAGTTATTTTCGGAAAAGCACATTAGAAGATGTGTTTCCCCTTAAAGTGACCACGTCTTTGTACCCTTTTTGCAAAAATTAATTATTGTTCTGCAAAATGCCAGAACATAAAGGTGCGGAGGATGACTTCTTGTCTTGTGTCGAGCATTCCATAAAAATTCGCTTAAAGAAGAAATATGGGAATCCAGCGTTTACTTCCTACGATGGAGATTAAGCAGTTTAACCTTTCCAGGACGGGAGAGGATGTCTTAATAGAAAAACAATTTGAAAACACACTACAACGTGAAACCAGATTCGACAAAAATAGACAACTGAATCATTTTATTGAAGCTAACTATTATTATTTTTCGATTTAATGTTACATTACGAGATTTAGATTTCTAAGCTTGACCGAATATCAGGAGGGAGGCAGTATTTTTATTCCCTTCCCTTTTCGGATATGGTCAAAACACCAGAAGCAACATGTAGTCATACACGTTTTCCAACATGTGTAACCATATCTCCTGAAAACAGACAGGCATTTACCAAATTGTATGTCCTACTGAGTGGAGCTCTGTGAAGTATTAAGGCACTAGAGGACAACATTTTTGGTGTATCATTCACGACAGTCATTCGAGTACAAAGTGTAATGTAACTGTCATTTGTCGCTCACCCGGATATAATCCATGAAAAGTAATGGTTCACTTGGATGAACCAGTTCGTAAATAGTTTCGGCAATTCGATTATTCGTTGCGATTACCCGTAGCTAACAAAATGTAGTTCGAACTAATTGCTGTCACCATTCTAGAACATCCTACTGGTTCTAACTGACTTGCTTTGGAAAATCACGTTCTACAGTTCTAAAATGAGAAATTAAAATTCATTTCAACCTGAAAAAATGAGCCACCGTTTGCTTTAACAATAATAAAAAGCGCGCTTATAAAGTTGTACTCAAAAGCGTTCAACTCCAAACGAAAATCATTTGAAAACCCTTCTTTTAAGAATATGTTTGGGAGAACGGTTTGGACAATAATCGGGATTGATAATTTTTTGCGTGGAGTGTATATTATCAAAAACCATATTACGTTGTGACGGAAACTGGGTGCACCGAAAACGGCAATTTAAGTGAGTCTGCATACACTAACTCTATCTAGTTGTAAATTAAAACCACTTTAGATGATGAAGGCAATGGGTAAGTTTTGGGTGCATTCAAAACTTACCTTGAGACAAAATATCAATGAGAGCGGCAGGGTGAGTATGATGAATATGATGCACACAACATGAAGCACATTCTCCATAAACCAATCTTCATCCGCATGTACAGTGGTTGGAATCAACGATCGTTTGGCGGCTGTCGGCGCAGAGGTCTTTTTCTCCTCCCCTAAAAACGCCTCGACCTCTTCATCTTCATCATCTCTTTTTCGATGCGGGCGACCGGTTAGTATTTTCCGCCGGAATTTCTTATAACGTGAGATTGAAGGAAGTGGTGTATACTTGATCGGAGAAGGTGGTGGTTTGTGCGCAGGGTAGTTTCGGAAGAATTCGATACTCTTTGGATCACTGGTTTCACGCTCAAACCCAAATTCAATCAACTGTTGAATCTCCTTTGGTACTTGATTTTTGTCCTGTGTTTCAGGTATCCTGGGTGGAGGTAGTTTGGAAGCCGTGCGGATTGCCTCAGCAATCACCGGATCTGCAAGTTCCTTCCGCTTTCTTTTTGCAATAACCAAGTCCAAAGGGTCAGCGGAAGGCACGTCGGATGCACTACCTCCAGTGGCAGCGGCTACTGCGCGAGCCATCACTGGATTCATTAAATGATGGCCATCTACTTTAGGCAAACCTGCACTAGTTGTTAGTGGATCAGTTCTGTTCATTTCTCCTTCGTTTGAGTTCAGTGAGGCCACTGATTTACCCCGAGCCAGACTGTTTGCTCCCAATGTGCTCACATCCGTTGCTGAATGGGTGTGATGCAAAGAAATCCCAGTGGTTGTGAGTAAGGGTGAAGCTGCAGATGTGATTGGGTTAGACATTCTTGGCAGCCGCATTACATTTTGGTATGACAAAGGGCAAGCGGGCAGTTATGTTCGCGACCACCGCCGCATTTGCTAGCTAATGAAAAATGTATGTAGACCCTTATTGTGAGGTTCCGTAAACTGGTACTCTTCCGCCCAACGTTTGTCGTGGCTGGTTCTGCCAACCACACGTTCGACGTTCTGTGATTGGTCAGCTCGGCAACGTGCGTTTGTGGATTGGTCAGTGGATCAGAGACAATTGCAAGCAACGAATTATATACTTGAATTTCCCTAGCCTTGTTTGTCTTAATATTTGTGCACTAAATCAACACAAAAACGAATAAGAATAAATTAATGCTGGCATTTGGCGTTCATAAAGTCGCAGAAGTGAATAAATATTGACCACTGCAGTTTCCAAGTTAGGATCGCTTTTTATTGATTAGTATGAAACAGAGTTCCGTAGGAAACTTGTCCCATCACGTTCATTTCTGGATTAAGCTACCTGTCAAAAACATCAAAATTCTTTTAAGAGTGAAACAATAGTAGCAATAAAAATTCTACCTACCGAATTTCGCCCCACTCCTGTACACATTTTCATTCTTTAGGTCTGCTCGCACACTTCATGAATCGAAAAACCTGAACGAGTTTCCCGAAGTGAAACCATCCGGTAGCGATAAAATAGAAGTGTTCTGAATTTAATGCGCCCCAAAACCACCAAGACCTCAATTGTCGCTTCCACAAATTATGTCTTTCAGTTCATATGAAGGCATTCCGTTCGAATCAAGTTTCATGCACTACCTGTATGTTGATCAGAACCTTGACTTCATTTGGGTGCTTTGAGTAGATATACTGAGTCGTTTGTTTAAGGGTTACATACATCAGTCTACGATACACATGACATTGCCGTGTGGCTTTACGACTCAGCCACTTCTGAAGTAGAATATGAGAGAACTTGAAATCCTTGGCCATCTACGTCGCAGAACGATGGCTGGAATTGGCTGGAATCAGCGAATTTACCAAAAAGATGCATCCAGCGCTGCAAGATAAAATGGCTTCGCTATATGCTAAACACAAAAATGTGCTGCATGCCGGGACGAACGATGCTGCCCGTACCTCAATCGGAAGAGGCCTAGAGGTGGAAAGAAATCGCCATGGTAAGAGAAAATGATGGCAAGCCCACTTTGAATGCTGTCGGTGCTGTACATCTTCAAAAATGAGGTCCACGTCATCCTTCACACGCTTTAGTGGAGGCAGTGAATGAGATGTCAGCTAACCGATATCAATAGCGTTCATGCGATCAGTTTGTACGCAGATTGCCTGACCGAGTGTCCAGACACCTTGTAGTTTTTTCTACGATAGTCCTAGGTTCAACTTCCTGCCTCAGTTGTTTCTTTTTCCGTATATGGTAAGACAGTGAAGCCTCAGATTTCACATTTAACGTTGTTGTCAATACTGACCGATAGTTGTGTGTTCTGAGTCTCAGAAAACTCATCACGTCTTGGTAAGAGTAATTCTTACTCGCATCTACCTTTCTTCCTACTTTTGTTGAAACCTTGGAATTATCATTATTCTGGTTCTATTTGAGGCTGATCAGTGACAGACTGATTCCCATTCGAGAAGGGTTTTCAAAATACTCTATCATACCGCTGTAGTTTTCTAGGCAAAGTGTAACTCAGATATGCTGCTGAGATGCAAGAAGAAAAAGTGAAACTTCAGTGATCGATAAAAAATCTACTTGGCAGACTTTACGGAAATGAAGCAAACCCCTTTCTGTACGCCTATCATGATACTCTGAATCTGCTGGTCTTGGAGAACCTCAACATTGTTTTTGCCACCTATTTGCATCCCTTTGGGACCAACTCACATGGACATTTTTGCAAAAAAATATTATAGTTGGTTGAAGTAACCATTCGTAAATGCTACTTAGGCCATAGTTGTTCAAGACGAACATTAAGACGTACATTAAGAGGCACCTGATATCTGCTTACAGCACCGCTCTTCAGGACATTTTGTTTAATCACAGAA